CCATGCCCTGGTGACCTTGCCTGCCAGGGCCAGATGTTCTGTCTCCTGAATGCTCATCCAGTTTTTCTGGAACTGACCCAGCCTCGTCATCCCGCAGCTCTTCCTCTTTAACTCGGAAACCGTGCCTCTGTGGGATCCACTCAAACTGAGAAACTTGCGCCACGGGGCGTGCTCGGGAGAGCAACCCCAGTTTACTGCCATGACCTTGGGGTGCATTTTTAGGACTGTATGTATCAAGTTCTAAGGAGTGGCTTCCACTCAAAGCAGTTCATTGTTATTTACAAGACGAAGAGTCAGTGGGGACACATTCCCACATCTGCCAGCTCAAAGGCATCTCGTTTTCCTATCATTTCTGAAAGAGCGTAAATCCATGGTCGTGGGGGAATTTTGTTGAATTTATAGCAGAGATGGAAGCGTGGGGCTTCTTTTGTTGAATTTTGTTTTTCTTCTTGGAGATGATTAAGTCATGTATAAAATTGATGATAGCAGCTTTTTTAAAGCGTGCTTCCTTATATTTTTTGGAGGCACAAAGAACCAGAAGAAAAGGAGAATTCGCTACTTAGAACTATACTGAGTCTAAGTGACCCCAAAATAAAACCCTGGATAGTCCCTAAATATTAGCTGCCCATCTCCGAGGCCCCATCCACTCGTGCGTTTGCATAGGCTGCACCCAGTTTTGTTTCTCAGAAACTACCCCATCAGAAAGAGAGGCTAGAGATGTTTAATTTGTTTAGGTGCTGATGATTAGAAAATTTACTCTCATACCTGAGGTTCTAAAACCTTTCTGTGCCTATGAATCATCTGGAGATCTTGTTAAAATGCAGATCCGAAATCAGGAGGGCTGGGTGAGGCCTGAGATCCTGCGTTTCTAGAGCGGCTGGGGGCCGTGGGGGTGGGGGGTGGGGACTGGCATTGCTGGTCTAAGGACAGCACTTTGGAGAACTAGGCTTTACGCCCCTGAGCTAAATCGTAAAATACTGAGAGAGATAAAAATGTAGACATGAAGACACTTAAGATGAGTGCATTCAGAACAGAAATTCTCAGGCAAACCATCTGTAAGTTTGCCTTGATTCACCCGGTATCTTAATGATAATGTTTGCACAGTGGGTCTGCATATGTGGTTCTTTGGTAGCTTAGCATCTGTAAAGTAGCGTGTGGCCCCATGTTTGGAAGAAATCTTTCTGTTGTGCATCCAGAAGTGAGCATTCCAGGGGTCCGGGTGAGCCACGGGTGTGTTTCAGCCCCAAGAAGGTAAATTAGGTAAACGGTGTCCATTAGGAAGTTAGGAAATGAGGAAGCCGTTTGTCCACAGCTAGAAAGAGACCGTGAAAACAAAAATCCTACTCCTTTTTTCTTCTTCTCTTTTTTTGTATCTCTTTTCCTCTCCCTTCCTTTTCCCCCTTATGTGCTCTTCCACCTTCAAAATACACCTCTCCATTCTTTCAGTGCGGTGAATAACCAGTCCCACAGCCTTCCAGGGACTTGGTGGCAAACTGTGGCGCCCTCTGGTGGTCCTCTGAAAATACAGCGACTCAATCCCTCCCCTGACAGTGCTTCTCCCTCATGGGAGATTGAGATAAGTACAGAGCCGGTGAGCATAGAGAAAGGACACATGACCCCAGAATTAGAGAGCCCCTGTCTCCTCCAAGCTGCACTGGTAAGTGGTCCTTCTACATGGAACGGGAGGATAAATTGGACTTTTTATCAGTCTGGTCCTAGGTGTTCCAGCGCCCGTGTTTATCTCTGGATCCTGGATTTATCCTTAGTATTTTCTGGAAAAGACGTTCATCAATGGGTGGATTTTCAGAAGAATAAATTTGAATCTGTGCATTAAGGCCAATATGTCTTAGTGGTCCATTAGCAGAAGACCAGCTCTGGAGGCTCTACAGAGACCTTGAGGGCTAGCTAAGCCAGTGTGTCTCAAATAAGCACTATAAATAAACCAGGGCACTACTAAGAACCAAGTCAGCATTCCTTTTCAGATTCACTAAAGCTGGGTTCCTTAAAAAGTACCTTCAGAGGGGTTTTCTCGTTTTGTATATTGTGCATTTGGTTGTACAAGCAATTTTACATTTGCATTGCTAATGGACCTCTTCTGAATGTGTTTGACATTTTGCTTGGCTTTGAAAGGACTTTTATGCTGCTGCTTTTTCTTGCCTCGAGCTGCCTTGGGCTAATTAACCTATTCCCTTACTGGCTGGGCCTACTATATGCAAATGTTCTCATTTTGGATTCTGACATATCCCTCTTGGATGAACATCCCTAATGAAATCCTGTGGGGTTTTATTGGAGCAGTGCTGACGTGGAACCAGCAGGGGGCGCAGGGAATGGTTTGCTTTGAGCAGATCTCCTAAATGACTTTTCTTTGCTAGTTGGTCTGGGAATGTGGGAGCTTATACAGTTGTTTCTTAAGTGACTCTTGAAATCTAAAGATAAAAGATCATTGTCAGTACATTTTAAGCAGCCAGAAGGGGACCACTGATTTTTACAATTCTGTAGTTTAATTTTGTTCTGTCATTATTTTGAAAATAGCACTGGGGCGCATGGGTGGCTCAGTTGGTTAAGCCTCTGACTCTTGATTTCAGCTCGGGTCAGGATCTCAGGGTGGTGAGATGGAGCCCCGTGGCAGGCTCCGCCCTCAGTGGGGAGTCTGGTTGAGGCTTCTCTCTCCTTCTCCTCTACCCATCACCCTGCTCACGCACACATGCACTCACCCTCTCTCTCTAAAATATATAAAAAAGTCTTTAAAAAATAGTACTTACCACTATACAAAAAAGAGAGAGAGAGAGAGAGAGAAAATAGCACTGTCATCCTGATTGACTTGCAAATACTGTGTGTAAATTATGTGCTGCACTGTTTATAAAAGAAGGCTGCACAGAACAGTTATTTTGGACTTCTAAAAGCCCTAGCTCGGGAGGGCAAATAATTGACATTACCCTTTCAACACAGTTATTTCTCCAGCATTAACATCCTAGATCTCTTCCCTTTTTTTTTGTTTCCATTCCAATCTTTATTTTTTTAAGATTTTAATTATTTATTTGAGACGAAGATGGAAAAAGAGAGAGCACGAGTGGTGGGGAGGAGGCAGAGGGAGAAGCAGACTTCCCACTGAGCAGGGAGCCCAATGTGGGACTCGATCCCAGGACCCCAGGATCATGACCTGAGCCAAAGGCAGACTGAGCAAGCCAGGTGCCCCTCCATCCCAGTCTCTAACGTGCCTCTCTTGTCCCCTGACAAATCCTGTTGGTGCTGAAATGAGCTTTGACATTGAGGAGCCAGATTTATATACTTCCGCCTCATCTAGACCTGGGTCACAACCATTAAGGATGGGGACTTCCTTTGGTGCCATCTCCCCTTTCGTGGTGATGTTTCGTCATGATGCTGGAGCAAGAGCAGCAAGGACCACTAAATCACGGACCAAAACAAAAGTTGCAGATTAGGGTGGGGGAGTGGAGCTCCCCGGGAGAGATGGGGGAGAAGTTGGTGCAGGCAGAGGAGAGGAAAGAGACCGTGTTACAGTAGGGATGTCACCATTGCTTGGGCGTTGACAAAGATCAGGTACCACAACAAGCTACCTTGTTGTGTTTGCTTTAAAATCAGATTGTAAAAATAGAGCATCTGGGTAGGAGAGATGCTAAAACCCCCCAGGGCCTGGAATTCCCAAAGCCTAATGCCCATGCCACGGCTTCCCAGGATCCCAGCACATAGGGGTGGTCCCGTCTGCAGCTGTTCCTAGAGGCGGCACTCACACCTGCTGCTGGCTAGCTCTCTTGGTGCCATGGACGCCAGTGGCATCCATGTGCAGTGGTCGCTGAGAGACTGAGATGTGTGTCCATAACGCCTGGCTCCTGGGCCACTATTGATTTATAGATCTGGGTTAAGCCCATGGGTCTGATTGATCTGAAAGAGGTTTCATCTCTAGGGTTAATGGTGGGCTGGCCCTTTCCAAGGAGAGGGAGAGGGGGTCAGTGTGAAGAGAAAACTCAGAGACTACCTGGAAATAAATAAATAAAGGAAGGAAGGAAGGATGGATGTGAAAGACCCTTCAATCTATCCACCCTCTTAGTGCGTTCTTAGTCTTGTTTTTAACCATAACCATATTCAGTTTTTAACTGTCTCGCAGATTTCTTTTGGCTTTCTGTTACCATATGAGTAGCTGTACTGGGAATTCTTTGGAAACTTGTAGAGCACAAGATTATTTTTGGCTCCCTCTGCTGAGTTGGCATGTGTACTCTGTGTGTGTGTGTGTGTGTGTGTGTGTGTGTGTCTGTGTGTTAGGGAACAGGGAATGGTTGTGGATCGAGTATGGACCCAGAGTCAGGCAGAACCTTTGAGTAGTAGCTCCAGTAGATGAGGCTTCAGACCTTATGCCCGGAGACCCCTCGGGACCCCCACTCCTCACTGCTCCTTCCCAGCACCTGCATAGGAGGCTGACTCTCCCTGATGTCACCCTCCCTGTGGGCTTCATTTGATTTTCTGGCAAAGGAACGAAGAGGTGAGGAAGGGACCAGTGTTTCTGAAAAGGAAATTTAAGAAATAAATCATCTACCCTCTAAGAAAAAAATTTTAAAAAGGGAGAGAGGGTATGTTAAGAAACAGGTCTTAGGAAATGCAGACAGTCTTAGGGGAGTTGTTAATGCCATAAAAAGGAATCTGCTGTGGGGCACCTGACTGACTAGATCAGTTCAGCATCTGACTCTTGATTTCAGGGTCGAGAGTTCAAGCCCGGTGTTGGTCTCCACGCTGGGCTAAAGCCTAAAAATTAAGAAGCATCTGCTTTAAGGTTTTTTCTCCCCCCGGGAAGTTCCTCATCTTCCTGACCTGCTGTCTAGCACAGGGAGTGTTTTATACGCTTTCAGGTTGGGGCTTTCATCAGGTTTGGGGAATTCATTATGAAGCTGGAGGCCTAGTCTCAGTCTGATATTTTGATTTCCTTTTCCCTCTTCCCTTCCTCCTGCCTTGTCTCTTTCCCTTGTCCCCACCCTCTTCCTTTTTCCCAGATTCCAGAGCTGCTGCGGGCCGATCGCACCCACGGGGAGATGATTCCTCATGAAGAGCCTGGATCCCCTACAGAAATCAAATGTGACTTTCCATGTATCAGACTAAAACCAGAGCCAGCCAGACAGTGAAACAGTCACCGTGGAGGGGGGACGGCGAAAAATGAAATCCAACCAAGAGCGGAGCAACGAATGCCTGCCTCCCAAGAAGCGCGAGATCCCCGCCACCAGCCGGCCTTCCGAGGAGAAGGCCGTCCCGCCGCCGAGCGACAACCACCGGGCGGAGGCCGTGGCATGGCTCCCGGGCAACCCCGGGGGCCGCGCCCACGGGGGTGGAAGGCACGGCCCGGCAGGGACTTCCGCGGAGCTGGGTTTACAACAGGGAATAGGTTTACACAAAGCGCTGTCCACCGGGCTGGACTACTCCCCGCCCAGCGCGCCCAGGTCTGTCCCGGCGACCAGCACGCTGCCCGCGGCGTACCCTCCCCCGCAGTCGGGGACGCCTGTGTCCCCCGTGCAGTACGCCCACCTGCCACACACCTTCCAGTTCATCGGGTCCTCCCAGTACAGTGGGCCCTACACCGGGTTCATCCCTTCACAGCTGATCTCCCCGACGGCCAGCCCCGTCACCAGTGCCGTGGCCTCTGCCGCGGGGGCCACCACTCCATCCCAGCGCTCCCAGCTGGAGGCCTATTCCACTCTGCTGGCCAACATGGGCAGTCTGAGCCAAGCCTCAGGACACAAGGCTGAGCAGCAGCAGCAGCAGCACCTGGGCAGGACGCCGGGACTCATCACCCCGGGGTCCCCTCCACCCACCCAGCAGAACCAGTACGTCCACATCTCCAGCTCTCCGCAGAGCGCAGGGCGCACGGCCTCTCCTCCGGCCATCCCCGTCCACCTCCACCCGCACCAGACGATGATCCCACACACGCTCACCCTGGGGCCCTCCCCCCAGGTTGTAGTGCAATACACCGACTCCGGCAGCCACTTCGTGCCCCGCGAGGCCGCCAAGAAAGCCGAGAGCGGCCGGCTGCAGCAGGCCATACAGGCCAAGGAGCTCCTGAACGGGGAGGTGGAGAAGGGCCGGAGGTACGGGGCCCCCAGCTCGGCCGACCTGGGGCTGGTGAAGGCCAGCAAGACCCTTCCTCACCCGTACGAGTCCAGGCACGTGGTGGTCCACCCCAGCGCCGCCGACTACGGCGGCCGGGACTCCTCGGGGGTCCGGGCCTCTGTGATGGTCCTGCCCACCAGCAACACCCCCGCCACCGACCTAGAGGTGCAGCAGGTCGCGCACCGGGAGGCTTCCCCCTCCACCCTCAACGACAAAAGCGGCCTGCACCTGGGGAAGCCTGCGCACCGGTCCTACGCGCTGTCCCCGCAACAGGCTCTGGGCCCCGAAGGCGTGAAGGCCGCCGCCGTGGCCACGTTGTCCCCCCACACGGTCATCCAGACGCCGCACAGCGCTTCAGAGCCCCTCCCGGTGGGACTGCCAGCCACCGCCTTCTACGCGGGGACGCAGGCGCCGGTCATCGGCTACCTGAGCGGCCAGCAGCAAGCGATCACGTATGCCGGCAGCCTGCCCCAGCACCTGGTGATCCCCGGCACGCAGCCGCTGCTCATCCCGGTGGGCAGCGCGGACGTGGAGGGCTCGGGAGCGGCCCCCGCGATAGCCACGTCGTCGCCCCAGTTCGCGGCCGTGCCTCACACGTTCGTCACCACCACCCTTCCCAAGAACGAGAACTTCAGCCCGGAGGCCCTGGTCACGCAGGCCGCCTATCCCGCCATGGTGCAGGCCCAGATCCACCTGCCCGTGGTGCAGTCGGTGGCGTCCCCCGCCGCGGCACCCCCCACGCTGCCCCCCTACTTCATGAAAGGCTCCATCATCCAGCTGGCCAACGGGGAGCTGAAGAAGGTGGAGGACCTAAAGACGGAAGACTTCATCCAGAGCGCGGAGATCAGCAGCGATCTCAAGATCGACTCCAGCACGGTGGAGAGGATCGAGGACAGCCACCACCCCGGCGTCGCTGTGATCCAGTTTGCCGTCGGGGAGCACCGAGCACAGGTAACGCTCACCGGCCCCTCCCTCGCCCAGGTAGGGGCACCCACCATGCCACCATCACCTTCTCCTGGCCAGAGTGTCTTCTAAAAGGCAGACCCAAATGTGCTATGGGCAGAATTCAGGGTTTTATACCCAGACTGTAAACCCATCCTCTTTCCCAGCCGGGTTCTGTGAGAGGGGGTTAACCCCAATGCCCCAAGGCATCCGCTGTTTGTAATGAGTTCACTTCCTTTCTCCTGTAGACTGAAGCTGGTAAGGGACCATCCTCCATTGGAGTCAGAAAATCACCACTCAAGACAGATATATATATATTTTTTTATTCTATGGTTTAAAATAATTCTAATAATTCTGTGGTATAGAATATTCTATATTTCATTCTATGGTTTAGATGAGGAACCCTGATGGAGAAACGCTGCAGGGCTCAGGGCCCTTCTTGGGGTCATTGTGCCCTTTTTACCTATCAGGAAAAAGACAGTGCTGGTCAGGTGGGGACATTAGATGGAACAGTCACCATGTCCCATTCCAACATCTGTGTTTCAAAATGTAGATGCTGTTATCATTTAGGGGTTGTAAGGCCCACCGAGGAGAACACAACTGCCATTGAAAAGGTAGCCTTTTATACTCAGATCCCAAAAAGACGGGGCATACCAAGCAGGGCCGCACGGGGAAGCACCAGGGTCACTCAGGAGACAGAGGGAACCAGGAGGGAACATGGCCAGGAGCCTGTATGGTGGTTTCCAGGGAAGGACTGAGCGACCTGGGGTAATCAGGCTGAGGATTGACTGTCATGAACAATTTCCCGGGAGCTCTGGGGACCTAGGGACTGCCCCTGGGTGTCTGGTACCTGGGCATGGGGTGATGAGGGCAGATGGACAGTGGCCCAGAGGTGAGAGCCCAGTGGAGGAGAGAGGCTGGGTGTTTGGTGTGCGCGTGATGCTAGCCCCAAAAGGGGCAGTCCCTCCAGTCAGCACGGCTCCAAGATGTCAAAGCATCAGAATGTAGAAAATCAAGGGCATGGTCAACATCTGGACATCCCAGGTGATCTCCTGCGCATGTAGTAAATAGGAACCCCAAAGGGTAAGATGGAGTCAAGGTCAGTTATCTTAAAGCCTGGAAGTATTATTAACTCTGTTAATTTCCATGATCTCCCTCGGTCCTCTCTTTTACAGTCTGTTAAATCACTTGAATACTTCTATTCCCCAGCTCCTTTGTAGAAAACAGCACTTTCCCCGTCCAGGTGGCTTGGAGACAAACAGGTTTGGCCTTCCCGGCCGTCAGGCCCCGAATTCTGCTGTCCTGGGAATGTTTGCATGGAGGACTTCGAAAAACCCCCAAGTGACGGCACCTCCTTCAGCTTTGAGTTGAGAATGGTCAGGCTGTAGGTGATGTTTGGGAAAACAAAACAGAAGAAAAACCAGTTAATGGTTTGAACTGTTTGAGTATATATATATATTTTTTTTTTTTTGAGTATATTTTTAAGAGATCAAGTTGCAGGGAAGGGGGGGGATTTCGCAGCTTTTTCCAGAAGTGCTTGTGAGTGACCAGATGTGGGGTCTTACACAATGTCAGAGGGCCAGCACTGCCAAGAGTTCTTGGCCTCCAAAGATGTCTTTTTTTCTGGTGCAAGGTCACCATAGGCTTACAGTCTTTGGTAAGATCCAAGAAAGATTTCTCAAAGTTCAGATTTAAAAAAAAAAAAAAAAGCAAAAATCCAGATTTTTTTTTCCTAAGTGGCATCTTTATTTCGAACTCCCTGCCCATCCGTAGGGGCCGCTCACTCCCGCCTGCTGCATGGGTTGGAGGTGGGCACGGGGAGAAGGAAAACAAGTTGTCTTCAGCAGAGTTGTCTCCTAACAGACTCCAGGTGAGGCATGGAAAATGAACAAGAAAGAAAGTGCATTTTTCTCGCGGCACCTTCAACCCTTCAAGCGGTGCTGTGACTGGGGAGCAGGCTCAAGAAGAGGGGTCAGTTTGGAGAGCTGCTGGTTCCTTACCCACGCACCTCCTTTCATCCTGAGAATCAAGAACAGCTCTGTCTGTGGGCAACGTCTCCAAGACCCTGGCAGCCTCGTGGATGCGAGCTTCCCAGGCCCTTGGAGGTGGCAGACGGACCCAGCATTCTGGAAAGCAGGCAGCTCCCTGTGCCTGAATGATAAAGCCCTCGGCTTCCCCGGGAAGTCTCATTTCCTTCCGGCAGCCAGACCATGAGTCTCCGCTGACAACCAAGGTGCAAATTAGAAGGTAGAATCTTTGTCCGGCCCGTTTGCAGGTCTGTCAGGGCGGCCCCGCGTAGGGGTCCTGCATGCTGGGGACAGCTGCCGCCTGCTGAAAAGGTGGCTTGGGTTTTGAGCTAGAGAGACAAAAAGTACAGGGCCCCGACGGCCAACGATTTGTCGCTTTCCCCAGAAGCCTATCAGAAACAGGCTGACATCATCACAGCTCAGATACTCCACCAGCTGTGGTCACCACGAGTGACAGGATGAGGATGAGGGGAGAATCAGAGAGAAAGCAAGGCGGGGGGGGAGGAGGAGGAAGGGAGCCAGGGAGCTGGTATCTGGATTTAATTTATGTTCCCAGCCCAGGGGTTGCGGGGTTGCCTCCCTCACCAGTGTGGCGCGGAGAAGTTTTCTACTCTAGCCTGGAGAATCAGCCATGTCTTCTCAACTCGTTAGAAATCACTGACACTCACACCCACGGGGAGATTTAGGGATGTGCCAATTGTTTCACTTCATTAGCAAAATCACAAAATTGTTGGGGGGAGTGGTGGGAGAAGGGATGGTTTCCGACACGAGAGCTGGATGGCTTTGTGACTCCAGGCTTGGGATTCCCACGTGGAAGGAGAGCCACAGAGATGTGCGTGACCTCAGGAAACCCACCCCATCCCTGTGGGACGCAGCATGGCCTGGGGAGGGTAAGACCACCAGCCTGGGCTCTGGCTGGCTGCAAGACAGGTCGTTTTTTCCTCCCAGTTGCCGTTTTTCTCATCCCTGAAACAGGCGAATGATTCCTTATACCAGATCTATCGCAGCCCCCCTCCATTTTTGGAGTCCCAGGCTTCTCTGCCTCGCAGAACAGAGCTTGTAGAAACCACCAGCATTTGCTAACCAAAAACCGAAGCGTAAAACGGAGGGGGTTTTCGTTTCGGTGACTATTTTAAGGAGCTGAACTCCTCATTGTTATTGTGGAAAGACGCCTCCGGTGTGTCTTCAGCTGGAGCTCCAGAGGAGACAGTGTGGGAGAAAAGCACTGTCGCAGAGCCGTCCCCATCCCCGTGGCGTGGCCGTTCCCGCTGCAGTATTCTTCTGCACAGGGGAGGTCTCTGCACCCAGCCCCCCAGCCCGCAGCTGTGGGGGAGTGAAGAATTCCAGGTGTGATCGGTTTCCACCAAATGCGCCACTGGACCCCTCCTTCTGGCCACGCTGCATCTCCGTCCTCTTTTGCTATGGGGGCAGGGAGCACCTTCTACCCGGGGGAGGGGAGCCTGCCTCCCTGCTTCCCAAATGCTCGGTGATTCCAGCTGAAAGCCCTGATGGACCACAGAATCCCTTCCCTTGGGGCCTCACTCCCAAGTATAATTCGATGGATTTTCTTCTCCCAACCGTACAGATTGGGTCTGTGAATCTGTAGCAAGTCTAGTGGGAGCCAGTGGGGCTCAGTGAGAGGACAGGGCATCCTCTGTGCTGGAGTGGGCAGCAAGTGAGCTGGTGAAGAAAATGCAGGACTTGGAGCTAAAAATACCTAAGTCAGGATCTCTCTCCCACCCCTCCCGAGCACTGGAACCTTGTGCAAATTGTGTGCAAATTAGTGCACACAATTGTATTGATTGTACAAACTACCTCAGCCTTCCAGTCCTCTGACGTAGTGGGAAGAATGAGGGTTGTTGTAAGGATTGAAGAAAATGTGTCCAAAGGAACCGGAGCAGTCAGTATGTAGCATCTGTAAGCCCCTGACAACATCAGTGACCTTTCCTGCTTCCATTTAGGTGGCTTTGGCCCTGCGAAGAGAAAGGTTAGGGGTGTCTGGACGACGTAGTCAGTTAAGCGGTGGACTCTTGGTTTTGGCTCATGTCAGGCTCTCAGGGTCATGAGATCGAGCCCCGCATCTGGTTCCCCGCTCAGCATGGCGTCCGCTTGAGTCTCTCTCCCTCTGCCCTTCCCATTTGTGCTCTCACTCTCTCTAACATAAGTAAATCTTTAAAAAGAGAGAGGGAGAAATGTTAGGTTCTGAAAAAATAAATAGAAGGCTTCATGGTCTAAAAAAGAATTTATGAAAGGAGAGGCGGTCCAGAAAAGTCCAGAAAAAAAGGCTGGAATTCCAGAGCACCCACACCGCTTTTTCTCCAGGAAGGGCTAAACGCCCTCCTGTTAGCCAGTTGTACAGACACCTGCCGTATCTCTTGGAGCGTGTGCTGGCCTGGAGGAGTGCATTGGCGGCCCTGCCATCCGTGTCAGTAAGAGCCCCCAAAATAGAAGTTCCGTGCACCTTTCTTCTGCCAGGCGCCCCCTGGGCAAGCCTCTGCCCAGGATGCCACCCCCTCCACTTCCAGCCAGCAAATACGTACCACCTGTGAGCAGCCTCCCCATCCCTCTGTCTCCTGCTCCCCAGGCTCAGCTTTGCTCAAGAGTATGCAAAACTTGCTCAGTAGCATGGTAGTAAATTTTATTTGCAAAGTGCTCTGGGGTGACACTTTCCTTAGGCTGTGACTTTCCTCACTGGCGAGCTGCTGTCTCTCCCTTCCCAGATCCTCCCAAGGTGACTGCTTCCCTTTACCTCCTTGGAGGTTGGTTAATATTCGGTGCCATTTACCTTTTGTAGCTGAGCGGCGGGGGGGGGGGGGGGGGGGGGGGGGGGGGGGGGGGGGGGGGGGGGGGGGGTGCATGTGTGTGCTTGTGTGCGTGCGTGTGTGTGCAGACACGCTAGTACCGTGTGTTACAATGATGTGCTTCCTGCACGTCGGGCGACGGCTTTCCTTTCATGCCTCTCTTTCTAATTCGACTGCTGGG